CTCTCTCTCTCTCTCTCTCTCTCTCTCTCTCTCTCTCTCTCTCTCTCTCTCTCTCTCTCTCTCTCTCTCTCTCTCTCTCTTTTGTTTTGATCTTTTATTCCCTTTCCCTTTCTCTTTCTCTTCATCAAGTTTGATCGATGGTTTATTTTCTGTCTGGTGTGTTTTTTAGATGATTGGCATCATCTCTCTTATGCTTCTGTATCTTGCCTTTGTTTTCAAAGTATTTTACTTCTCCATCCAAAATTTATTCATCGTCCATATTATCCTTCAATCTCTTTCCTCAACCTTTGATTTCTTCTACTCTCTCTCTCTGAGATAATTTCTCTTCTCTGATATGCCATGTCTCTACAGTTTTAGCAGCCGTGTGGGTAGTAGGTGGAAGGCAACAGAACGCTCTAATACAACAACAAAGGGAGGGAATTTCATTAGAATTCAACCTAGAAGAAAAGCCAACGCCAGTAAAAAATGAGGAGGGGAAGAAGAAGGAGGTGGAAGCAGAGCAAGGCGTGGTGGCGGCAGACCATGGGAGGTGCGCCGCTGTAGGGGTGGATGTCCTGCGGGAGGGAGGCCATGCGATGGATGCTGCAGTCGCCACTGCACTCTGCCTCGGTGTCCTCAACCCCATTGCGAGTGGGATCGGCGGCGGAGCTTTTTTACTCCATCGCAGCTCTGAGACCGGCCTCTCCCAGGCATTCGACATGCGTGAAACAGCGCCTGCAGCTGCTTCTCAGGTCAGCCTCCCCTTTCCCCTCTCTCTGCAACACATGAACATTTATTATTATTAATTTTTTATTATTTGCGTGTAAAAATGGCTGTTCTGATTTCTAAATTTTGGGGCACTTTTGTTTTTGGGTTTAGGGGCGCACGGTTTACATGAATTTTTTTTTAAAAATAGGAGGCTGACTTTACCAACTAAAAAGAGGTCTTTGTATACGACTATTTATACGACGTCAAATTATATGGCTGAGGATCTATCATTTTTTGGGCACAAAATTAAATATGATATTTTGAATGTTGTGACCACTCAGTTTAAAAAATGGATGGGTGTCTCGGATCGAGCACTCAAAAAACCCATTCGGATCAATAAATTGATGATTCGGATCGGGAGTCGGCCGAATCGGTCGGATTAAGCATTAAAAAAATCTCAAAAAATTATGAAAATTCATTATAAATGTTTTTTTTAATAATCTAATAAAAAATGGGGGTACTGCATTATTAACTTTCATTTTTTTCATCAATATGGGAATATTGAGATTTTCGTTCTCTGTATGAATATTCATCAAATATTTATTAAAATCTGATTAAAGACGATGTTATACATTAAAATTAGAATTATTGGTATGTTTTTTTTTTATTTTATCATTATTTTACTATACAAATAAAAATAAATTTAAAATTTTTCTTATAATATCATCTAATTTAAAAATATAAAAATTTAATAATAAATTGGGAGAATCGGCCAAATGAACAAATTGTCTCAAAATATTTTAAAAAAAAAATCATTATGAATATTTAAAAATAGTGTTTATTGAGGTTCTAAAAGAAATTAGTTGCCTTAGTCCAACTAAGCCTTTATACCGAAAAAAGAAAAAGTTTATATAAGGTTGCAACCTTAAAATCTAGAACTACGGATGCACCTCAAAAATCTATCGAAAAAGGTTATTTTAGTATTGAAAAACCCTCTAATTGATCGTCTCAATGTCGAGATGTATGACTATAATAAAGAAAGGATTTTGAATCCCAAAAGTGATGCATCTTACAACACACTATAGACCGTCCATTTTCAAGATTTTCGTATGTTTATAGATCTACTTGATTTTAATCATTTTTGGATTTTAAAATTTTATAATTAGATATGAAAATAGATTTTGAGATAATCTTAATAATATTTTTAGATCAAAATTATATGCTACAATGAAATTTGGAAGTGCGCCTTAAATGGATTGTTTAAGGTTATGGAAACCACCCCCTTATAAATGAGGTCCAAATATGTCTTCCATCGCATTTGAAAACTAAGCACGAATAGTCCCACATCCAACTATTAAAGGCTGAAATAGCCATATAATAGTCTATCTGTTAACCTTTTATGTAATGTTGCAGTTGGCATGTAGATGGTATATAATTATGGTATATAATTTTGATGTAAAATGTTATTAGGATTATCTCAAAATCTATTTTTATATCTAATTATAAAATTTTAATCTATTTGATTTGACAAGCAATGACTAAAAGTGATCGTAACTTCCTCGTACCAAAAATTAAATAGTCTCGTAATATACAATCTCTTATTTAAATGCTTTCTATAGGGCCTAGGCTTTGTGAAGAAAATAGTAAAGCGTCGCCTTGAAATCTTGCTTGGAAAATATGCAAGGCATGAGCAATCCTTAACATGCTCTATGATTTGTTTTCATTGCTGATTATGAAATTTGCAGCTTAAAAAATGGTGTAGATCTTGTAGATTTATGAACACTTGAAAATGAACGATCTAAATAATTTGCTACAAATAGTATATTTTTAAGGCTTAAAATCTTAAATTTTTTTCACAACTATAATGATCATGGTCGAGATGATCGATTTGAAGGTTTTTCAACACCTAAACTATAATTTAGATGAGTTTTAAGTGAGGATTTACTTTGTTTTCTATAGAGCCTTCGCCTTATTTTAACATTTTCCTTGTTAAAACATCCACATACTTGTTTGGTACAAAGGTCCAACATGAAACCAATTTATAATTCATTAAAAAAAAAGTTCAAAATTTTAGCCTCAATATAAAGCCAAACAAATATATATTTAATTCCACAAATTAATTTAGCTTCATAATTAAATTTCTCTACAATTTACATGCTCATAGATATATCCATCCATTCAATCCTGATCCATTGGTGGGGAGGGAATTGACAACTATGTGACATGTTAACAACCGCTGCTGATGGTAACAAATGAAACATTGTTTCAAGTACTATTGTTAGGATCGGGAATACTCAGTCTAAACTCGGTATCAGCCCAAACCAACCCGGTTTCGAACATGGAATCGGTCCAGTTCCTTGGACTTAGCCCGTCTCATCAAGAAACAGAGTGAGTTGGTCGGGGAACGCGGAACCGGCCAAATTGTCTAGTTCCCATATATTATAATTTTATGTTTATTTTTATAGGCCAATTCTCGAGAATTAGTCCAGTTCGCCAATTCAACTCGGCCATTCATCAATCAATACCAGATTTCGGGAAGGCCGATTCACTTGATCCGTCTTTGAGTTTTCAAATTCGGGTTTCAAGGCTCCCTCCCAACCATCCAATCGACCGTGCCCTTCTCGAGGCGAATACAGATGTGCAGTACACATTGCACCAAACAGTTCGACATATTTATCGTGCCCAGTGTTCGAAAAATCGAACTAGAACGGCTAACCACACATGGACATGGAAACAGTTTAATCGGCGTAACCGGTAAATCGGCTGATTCAAGTGCTCTAACCTGACAAGTCCCTGACAGTCAAAAAAGTGTTGAAAAAATAAAACAGATAAAACAAGAATAAACTAAAATATGAAAAACATATAAAAAATGATTAAAATAAAACACATTCAAATGAAGTTGACAATTAATGAAAAAAATGGATTTTAACAAATCGATTGTGCTTAGGGGTATTTTTTAAATTTTCAGAAAAAGATGGGAAAAATATAAAAGTGAGTATTAATTGCCAAAACAAATTTTAATTTTTACCATAATATATATATTTTTTTGAATTTTTTTTTTAAATACTGATTGATCACCAAAATTGCTCAAAACTGGAACGGATGAGGTTGGCATACAGATGCATCCGTAGTTGTAGAGGTAAGGTGCACCTTCAAATTTTATCATGGTATATAATTTTAATGTAAAATGTTCTTAGGATTATCTCAAAATCTATTTTTATATCTAACTATAAAATTGTAAATTTCAAAAATGGTAAAAATCAAATAGATCTATAACCATATGGAAATCTTGAAAATTGACGGTGTAGATAATATGTTGTAAAATGCACTATTTCTAAGATTTAAAATCTTTTTATTTTCTTGGCCATATATCTCGATGTCGAGATGATCAATCAAAGGGTTTTTCAACATTAAAACTACCTTTTTCTATGATTTCTGAGGTGCATCCGTAGTTCTACATTTAAGGTTGCATCCTTATATAAACTTTTTTCATCTGGAACGTATTAGTGGCCAATTTGGATTTAACCGGGCGGTTAGCAGTTACCGGTTAGATGGCCTCAGTTTTCTGACTGTGATCTTGCCCCGTAGTTTTCTCTGTTACCTCACTTCACATAACAAAAAGATTCTTAAAAAAGAAAGCGACGTGATGCTAAGGCACAGTTTTTAAGGATCTTTTATTTTTTTGATTGTTGACATTTTTTAAGGACTTGCTCTTATTAAAATGAGCTACAGCTAGCTAGTGCCTCTTTGGAGTTTGGTAATGCGTTCTCTTTTTTCTTTATGCATTTTCTATGTAGAAACATCGACAAATAATATTGAGAAGATACTTTAAATAACATTGAAAATAAATTTCAGGGATTGTATACAATGAGACCATTTATTTTTGGTATAAGAAGGTCACAATTATTTACGACCATCTGATATCAAATCTAATAGCTTGGGTGTACCACAAAGTTTGAAAAAAATTCTTTTGAACTTTGAGCTTGATCAATGGAATAAATACAACCACAAAATTTCACATTTAATAGTCAAGATTAATTGTAACCACTTTGTACCAAAGATAAATAGACTCGTTACATACTTTCCCTAATTTTCAAGCCATACCCAAAAGATTCTATTAAAAAAAATGGTTTGTTAGTACTGTAGCCCTATCAGAATAAATAAATCCTCACCTCATAATTCATTAAAAATTCCAATTCAAGTGCTGGAAAACGTTCAAATCAATGATCTCAACTTGAATTTTATGGTTGTGAAAAAAAATCCGGATTTCAAGTTCTCAAAATAGTGTATATTGCAACAAATCATCTAGACCATCCATTTCACCCAAAAAATAAGTGTAAACAGGTTCGCAAGATCTGTATTATTTTTTTGCCTTTCAAATTTTATTATTGGTGTTGAAAATTGATTTTAGAGCCATTATGAAGATTTTTGATGCTCAAAGTGCTTTCTGAATAACGAATTGAGATGAAGCTTTATTTTGTTTTCATAAAGCCTAGGCCCTATAAAAACTTCGTTTTGTTTTGGTTCCTGTGGTCGGATTCATTGAGCTTGGGTTCTAATCATTTTCAAAAGAAAGAGGGACGAGTTTTTGTCATTTTCCTTAAATGCCTAGAGGACTTGGACAAAATCTGACCCTCGTTTTCCTATTTCCACCCAGAAGATGGGTGAAAATATTCTACGGGCCCTTATAACCACTCGATGGATTTTGGGTGAGCAATATGGGTGGTGTAAGTTTGCTCTTTGATGATATTGATCTTTTTTAACCCTTAATATAATGCAAACAACTCAAACAACTAATTTGTTGAAGCAGTTTAATCTTGTTTAATCTTTTGGGAAAGGTTTTTATGCTTCACCTCGTGTATATAAAATGTTTGCTTCCTTTTCCATCCATAAAATTTAGATCAAATGAGTCATTGACCATTTGATCTAGATCTAATGTCTTAGAGTGTTTTATTTTTAGTTTTTTTTTATAAACTATATGCATATGAAATTTAACAGGTGCTATCATCTCAATAAGGTGTATCTAAAAGATACTGAAAATATA